TTTCTTTTCTTTTCTTTTCTTTTCTTTTCTTTTCTTTTCTTTTCTTTCTTTCTTTTTTTTTACACTGCCTCCTCCTCTTCCTCCTCCCTCCCTCTTCCTTTTCCTCCTCCTCTTTTTTTAATTTTGAAAAAGGCTTTGGGGCTAAATTTACATTTAAGTACTTTCCCTTTACCACATTTCCTCCAGTATTCCTAACAAGGAATATTCCTAACACTGAGTAAAGTGTTTATTTACTTTTTCTTTTCTTTCCCTCCCCTTGTGTGTGGGAGGAGTGAGGGAACTCCAGAAACACTCTTGTCTTTTCTTAGGCATTTTCCTTTGACAGGATCTTATTATGCCTCCTAGCTGGCCTGAAACCCAATCCCCCTGTCTCTGCCTTCCATATGCTGTGATTACAGGCCTGAGCCACCACTCCTAATTTAAGTGCTTTGTGGAATTGTCTTCGTGGTTGCTAGGCAGATTTAGTCTCTTATGTTGCTTATTGTACTTCAGAGTCAATATGTGGCTCAATTCTGTACTCCCAGCACTTGGACAGCATAGACAGAAGGGCTGCAGGTTCAAGGCCAGCCTGGGCTACATAGTGAGAGCTTATCTAACAAAAAAGGGGCAGGGCACGGAAATCCACAAAGATACTACTTTTGGTTTCTTTGACTCCAAGGTAGCATGTAAAGTTACAGGAAGCAAACACTGCTTTCAGTTGTAAGTCTGACTACTGTGGATGAGTCTGAAAAAAAAGAAGAAAATCTGATAAGCCTTTGTGCTTTCCCTGTTGTTGGGGTTATATTCCTTCTGCTGTTTGGAAGGAGGAAGTCTTTGCTTCTTCCCCAGTTGGATCTCATCCCAGTCCTCTCAGCTTCCCCCAGTACATACAACCTCTCCAAATTCTCAGGTAAATTAGTTTTTTTTTTCCCCTGTGCTATGACAAAATAGCTCTGACCAAGGCAACTTAAGGCACAAAGGGTTTGCTTTGGCTCCTAGTTGGAGGTACAGTGCCATCAAGGCTGGCACATGAGTGCATCTGAAGCCAGGAAGCAGAGAGGGATGCATGTTGGTACTTAGCTCATATTTCCTTTTCAGTAAGCCCAAGAACCCAGCCCTTGGAGTGGTGCTGCCTATAGTTAAGGTGGGTTTCCCCCACCTCGCTTAACCGCTTCTAGACAAGCCCTCACAAGCATGCACAGAGAGGCTTGTCTCCTAGGTGATTCTAGGACCTGTCCAGTGGACAGTCACTGTTAACCATCATACTGGGTTTCCCACTTGGCATCATGAGGCAGACATTTGAATTGGCTCAGCCCACAAAAGGCACTCTTACGGCTGCTAGGGCAATGGAATCCTGCCATGTGGTAAGGCCTGGGCAGGGTTCTCCGGAGCTAACATCCTACCAGACAAACTAAATAACAACTGACCTTGAATGGCCCCTTAGTCATACAAACCTATGGAGACTCTCCTTCTTCATGTGGACTCATGGGAAACTAATCTAGGATAACTTTATACCCATCATAAAGATGGAGTCCAGGGCTTCATGTGTGGTAAGCTCCTGGTCAACTAATGCCTTCCTCCTGCAGGGTTTTTGAAAAAAAAAACAAAAACTGGAGACTCTTTATAGTAGATGAAGCAAAAAACAATTGGCTTTTCCCAAATGAGTTTGGGAAGACTCCTTCGGGATTTGTACCTTATTTCACTTTACACATCTTCTAATTTCATTTCGCAGGATTAGGTCGAAAAGCTGAAGATCTTTCCGCCGAGCAACTCCGACTTGCTGTGAAGTAAGTTAGCAATGAGCAGAACTTTCTAGAGCCACTGGCATGTGTCTAGGGTGGTGGTTCTCAACTCTCCTAATGCTGCGACCCTTTAATACAGCGCCTCATGTTGTGGGTCACCCCCACAGTACAGTTATTTTCACTGCGACCTTATAACTGTAACTCTGCTACTGCTCTGAGTTATAATGTAAATATCTCACATACAGGGTATCCGATATGCAATCTACCGAATGGGTCGTGACCCATAGGTTGAGAACCATTGGTCTAGAGTTTCTTCATTTTAATAAATACTCAAATATTAATTTCATGACGTGGATAGGATATTCCTGTTGAATCTGCTATTGATGGCCTCTTCTCTGTCTACTAATCTTTGCCTTTGGACCATGCTAAGCAATGGCTACTCTTGCATATGGATTATTTCTGTGTGCGTTTGGGTTTGCTGTAGGGTAGAGGTAAAGGGCCCATGAATCTCTCCTCTAATTTTGTCACTTGTGTGATATTCTCTTTTCACAAGATGTGTGTGTCCACTCCAGAATTATTTTTATTGGACTTGTGTCAGGGGTCTTTGAGACACGTGTAGTATGATTAGGTCCCCAGCACAGGGAATGGTAGGAAGTAGTTCATAGAGAATCCAGGAGTCAGAGGGATTCTGAAGGTGGTCCTTCGCTAGAATGGACAGGCAGAGGAAAGAGAATGGTGTTAGAGAGAAAGGGGGACCCCCTAAACAATCAGGAGAAAAACACTGATTGGGGATGAAAGCGCCATTGGGATGGCTCACTAAGAGCAGACATGGCTGGGGGATGGGTTCCTTGTAGAAGGTCCCAAGAGCTGGCTGGCTTCCCTAAGGAGGCCCAGGTGGTGCCTTCACTAAGAACTAAGACTTGGAAACAGCTGTGAAGCTCTGGCAAATTCTGCTAAGCCCAGCTTCTTGCTCAAAGCTATGTGGCTATTAAGGCACAGTCTGATGACAGTGTTTCACGTGCTCCCTTACCACACTTTTCCCCTGCTAGCACATGTACCCTTGAAGCTTTGAGCAGAGCCACGCACTCCAGGTTCTCCCTGCTCTCCTTTCCTGGACCCAGACACCCAAGCAGACGACAGATTGTCACAGTTGGTTTTGTGTGGCTTCCAAGTGGAAACCGGTTGGGTCCACCCACCATTTACTTTGTATTTATGTTGGCAGTTGGGAGAGAAATTCCCCTCTCTGGAGCATCTCAGCCACGGACATTAGGTCAGATTCTCACCCTGCCTTTGTTTATACCTTCATTTTGTGATGCAAGCAGACAGAGGTGATGAGAAAAGACCAGTTCTGAGACGCAGACATGCCTCCCTCAGTGTTTATAGTCCTCGCCAGCAGGGGGTGACATGGAACTATGACCATCTCAATAACATTTCATCCATGGTTCTTGCCTGAAAGGTGTCTCTCTTAGCTGGATTTTACAGAAAACAGAATTGAAAGGTCTTGGTATCAATAATAACTTTCAGGTATATGGGCATGTTCTGATGAAGAACTGAACATCGATGAATGCTCAGGTTCTAAATTTCGCTTATCTTTACAGAGTGAAGCCCTCGCTTTTGGAATACTTAAGCTACCATCTCAACTTCATGAGTGTCATAGCTGGCCCTTGTAACAACTTCAAGGACTATGTGGCCTTCATTGAAGGGAGACACATACATACAAAGCTGCTGGAAGTGAACTGGAAGCAACGAGATTTCCATAGTTTGCCCGAACCTTCTCCCAATGTAAGTTTTTAGCACTCAGTATGGTTTTTTTGGAGTTTCAGAGAATGTAGCTTGGGGATGGAAAACTTGCCCAGCTTGCATGAGATCCTGGATTTGATCCCTAGAATGGAAAAAGGAAAGAGTAACAGCCAAATGTCAAACAGCTTTAACAGAGAATATGACCAATCATCCACACCCTATTTGCCTAAAATCAAATCTAGGCAATTATTTAAGCTGTTCTCTGTATAAGATCACTTAATTTGGAGCCAAGCACTGTTCTCGGCCCCTTGTTGTGTCCATTCACAGAATCCCCAATGCCCTCTGGGATGGACACCATTGCTGTGCTGTGTTACAAAGGGTACCCATCCTTAGGAAGTTGGAAACTACAGGATGACATTTCCTGGAAAGTCAGAGGAACTGGGCAAAATTACTGAAGCCTGATAAACCTAAAACTCAGCACATCCTAACCCCAGATGTCCTAGTTTGTATCTCTAATGCTGTGATAAAACCATGATCAAAAACAGCTGGAGGAGGAAAAGGCTTATTTAGCTTCCAAGTTATAGTCCATGGTTGAGAGAAGACAGAACAGTAGCTGCAGGCAAAAACCTGGACACTGGCTGAAGCAGAGACCACAGAACTGCTTCCTGGCTCGCTTGTTGGCTCATGTTCAGTTACCTTTCTTCTACAGCCAGGCCCTATGCCTAGAGCCCCTGGGCCCTCCTACATCAATTAGCAATTAGGAAAATGCCTCATAGACATGCCACAGGCCATTCTGGTAGAAGCATTTCATCCACTGAGCTTCCTTCTTCCCTGGTGACTGTAGGTTTATGTCAAAGTGACAGCTAACCACGATACCAGATTAAACACTTGAGTCATCTTTGGAAGCTAATGTTCCCCATTATCTACCCATGAACTGTCTTGGGTGTTCAATCACCAGCAAAGAATCCATTATACGGGAAGCCTTTACCTCCTGGCTGTTGACTCAAGCATGTTTTCCTGGCTTTGCAGGCTGTACTAGTGGAAAGCAAATGGTAATTGCTTTCTGGTGGAAAATTGCTACCCTCCAATGGTATCCATCTCCCTTATGTTTTGGACAACAACCCTACCTAACTTATGTTGGTAGGAGACTAAAAGACTAAAATTCAGATATGTTCCATGTTTATAGCGAATACTCCATTCCTCAAGGGTTACATGTGTGTTCTGCATCATACGCCACTTAACCTAATCCAATGAGATTTGTGTTTTGAGGAAGAAAACCCACACCCATTGCCCTTCCTTCTAGGGAAGTAATTGATAACTTAGATGCTGTTGCCAAAACTGTGGTCTTTGTACGTTTGTAGTTACATGGCTTCCCCCCTCCTCCATTCTAGGGAGCTGTGATACAGAAGTTGTGCATGACCTTGATGTCTCTCCTGTTGTTTTTGACACTCTCTAAGTCCTTTCCTGTCACCTTCCTTATTGATGACTGGTTTGTACATAAGGCCAACTTTCTGAGTCGTCTCTGGTACTTATATGTCGTCATGCAAGCCGCAAAGCCCAAGTATTACTTTGCGTGGACATTAGGTAAGTTTGATGGAGTGGCCCAACTGAATGAGGAGTGGAAAGGTCCTCTCTGGATGGCTTGGCCAGGATATCATTTGTTTTGTTGAGTCATAATAAAGTCCAGTCCTTCGTGGGTGGCAGTGAAGCCACTGCCAGTTTTCACCTTCAACATTGCACTCCTTTCTTCTACCCTCCGTAAACTCAGTTATCGGTGAGAAGAAGGTGTCTAGGCTGGTTGTTTAAACTCAGCATCCATAACAGCTTCCAACTCCTGAACTTGGCCATTGACTGCAGTGTAAAGTTAAGACAAAATTCCAGTACAGTCTGGCTTGCTTTTCATTTTTCTTGGCTGTATGTATGCATGATGAATTTTACTAACTCACACACCAGTTTAGGCTGCACCCGGTGAAGGAAATGCTGAGCTTGCTGCTTCAGAAGGAAGCTGAGTTCAAGGTTTTCCGCTCTCCTGAACATTTAGATTCACTTGGTTTTTCACTCTTTTTTTTTCTTTTGGAGAGTGTTGATCAATCTCAAGGCTTTATCTCTTTCCTTCGAAAGAATTTTGATAGAGTTGTACAAAGCTTTGCTAAGAGAAGAACTAATGCGCTTACTGAGGCCAATAAAGGACTGTGATTTAAGACAGAAGGTTAGAGTGAGTCAAGCTTGTCATTCAACAGTTCCTGGTCATTTGTCTCCAGACTGCAGATTAAGGAACAATACATGACTCAGGTCCTCTTCTTAGTTTGTGCTTCAGGTTTTAAACTTTGCAGATGCAAAATTATTTTCTTTATTCAAATATTTGTAACATGCCATTTAGGCATGCAGTTCAGCAGTGGCAGGTTTTTCATGACAGTGTGTGACTACTGAGAGCAAGAAACTTCCATTCCCCAAGCACAAACTTTGTGCCCGGTAAGCAATTCCTCCAAGGCCAGGTTACTTTTAATTGCAAAACTATGTATGCATAAGTTCAGCCCAAATGTAGTATTTCCCTAACAACTGGCCAGTGACATCAGACTTAGAGCTGATTGTTTCGTTTTCTTTGTGAAAGGATCTTTTTTTTTTTTTCTGGAAACTATTTATTTATTTATTTATTTATTTATTTATTTATTTATTTATTATCTATATAGTGTTCTGTCTGCATGTACACCTGTGTGCCAGAAGGGGTGGTTGTGAGCCACCATGTGGTTGCTGGGAATTGAACTCAGGTCCTCTGGAAGAGCAGCCAATGCTCTTAACCTCTGAGCCATCTCTCCAGTCCCAGAGACAGAATCTTACTATGTAATCCTGGCGAGCCTGGAACCCTCTCTGTAGACCAGGCTGAGTCAAACTCAGAGATCCACCTGCCTGTGCCTCTGCCTCTGCCGGGACATAAAGTTATGGTGTGCTGTGTTTTGGTCCCAGTTTCATTCAGTTTAATGTAGGGGTATTTGTTGAGCACCAGGCTTTGTGCTAGGAAATATCTTCTGCTTCTCAAGACTGTGACATTTTGTGTGAACACAGACCTTTCCATCAATTGGGCAAGAAGCATCAAGAGCTGCCCCAGTGGGCACAAGATGTAGGAAAAATGTATTTCAAAACCTGTTCCCCTCCTTCCTGATTCTGCTGCTGCTTTGCTAGTTTTTTTTTTTGTTTTTTTTTTAAATGCTGCCTTCTTTGTTTCCTTGGTAGCTAGGCAGTTTTATCTTGGGTAGCCAGGAGTCTACTTGGATCCCTGCTTATATATGTTTTCCCGTGCAAAAATAGTTAATGCTTTCATTTTGCTCTAACCTAAGTGTGCAGGTGTGTGTGTGTGTGTGTGTGTGTGTGTGTGTGTAGAGAGAGAGAGAGAGAGAGAGGGCTTGGGAGAGAGTGAGAACTGTCTTCCTCCCTTTCTGTATTTTCTATTTCCACTTACTTTGCTTTTTCTCTTCTCTCCCTTCCCTTCCTGCTCCCACATTTTGAATCTCAGGGCTTAAGGGCTGGCTATGGACTAAATCAGCTCCAGATTTAAGGAGGAAAGAAGGCCATTCCGTGGCCTCATGGGTCGAGTCTGACTCAAGGTGGGTTGTGCTGACAGTGTTTGGGTGGGAGGGAGCCAGGGAACAGGATGCCATTCAGTCCTTAGGAGAACTCCCAGACTTTTGGAATGCAGGTGTCACTCTTCTGGACAGCTTTCTCCTTCGCTCAGCTGCTTTTTTCCCCTCATCTTTATGTTTTCCTGGTTGCACACTGGAAACACTTCATTAATTTTCAGAGTTTTGATTTGAAGTTTTTTCCAATTTATATAACATGGGCTAGTCTGATATTAACGTTTGTATTATTTATGAATAAAAAAAAGCAATGAATTAGCCCATTGGGAGACAGTTAAATTGCTTAACCACATAATTGTTTTAACCAGCTCTTTAAAATGCCATCTACATATAATTGACATACTAATTATAAATTATTATAAATTTAACCCTTAAAGCTGGCCTCTTCTGGATCAGCTGCAGTGCACCATGATTCTTGCTCTCGTTACTGTTTTTATCAAAATAGTAAAACAATTCTCTTTCGACATCCCATTCTGATTCCCCCTAACTAACTGGCAGTCATTAGGGACACTGAGCTGTAGTGTAGGCTGTGTCTTAAGGACCACAAACTTCAAGAAAGGGATATCCAAATCAGCTTGTCTGCCATGGTAAGTTACACTGTGCATGGTGAAAGAAAAGCCGGTTTGGGGCTATGAGTCAGAACCTCACTCTGGCTTCTCTGGGCCATAATGGAATCTTAAGATAAACTTCTGAGGAAAGCTCTGTGCAGAACAGGGAATCCTGACTCTCCAAATAGGGTGATTCTGGGAGCAAGTCATCTCTCAAAGGCACTCTTAACCCTTAATGATGTGGAATCCGTTCTGGCCTTCAGATTCAGGGCTGCCTACACTGGAATGGTCTGAACATGGAACAAACAAACACAGTCCCAGTATCCTTTGCATTCCCATTAGCAGAAGCCATTATGATTAACACTGGTCACCACCATCCTTTCTTGAGCGCTTTCTTGGATGGGCTCTGTGCTGTGCACTTTATACATATCTCAACTCTTTAACTCGGGTGCCACTGTTATATCCATTTTATCCTTAGGAGATAGTAGGCTTCTAGAAGTTAGTCACCCCCTCTAGATTTTGTATTAGTATGCTGTTGAGCCTACCCTTACCCTGCTGACCCTGCTAATGCTGCTGTGGGGGTAAATAAGAAATGCCTGTAAGGTGTTGGGTGCAGAAACCCAGAAAGCTGTATGATGGCTCATCTTGAAGGTCATCTTCCTGGCTTTGAGATGCACATAGGCTGTTAGTAAAGCACTCTTGTCGGTGTGTCTATAAGGTTATTTCCAGAGACAGTTAGCTGAGAGGGAATTCCAGTTCTGCCTGCTGGCAGCACTGCCCATAAGCTGAGGGCTCTGGTGGGACAAGATGGAGAAGAAGAAAGATGAGGACATGGTCATTCTTGCTCTTTCTGCTTCCTGAGTGCCGTGATGTGACATGCTCTGCCACACACACACCCTTCCCTACAGTGACGGCTCTGGGGCTGAGCTGAAGTAAGCCTGTCCCGGCCTTAAGTGGTTTTTTTTTTTCAGGTGTTTTGTGAAAATCTGAGTGTGGAAGATGATGGCAACAGAAAGCACACATTCATGCACATGAGTGCTGCTTGGGTTTTTTTCAGCTCTGTGGTGGGCACAGAGTTGAAGGAGAAGACAGGAAGTTAAGAATCACTGTTCTGGCCTTGCTGTGGGTTGTCCAGCTGTGGTTTCAGTTGTCACCTAGTTGATGTCTGTCATTCATAGATATATTCTCACATATACGAAGCCATGATTCTCCTTTTTCAGGCATTTTCTTTCTTTGTTTTTCCTTTCCTCTCTACTGAGTTTCCCTCTAGGGGAGAGAGGATGACATGGGGCTCTGTCCTTTTAAATCCTTTCTTCTGTGAGAAACCAGATAGTTTTCAACTAAGCCAAGCCTAAGATAAGCATCGTTAAATCATCAACTACACTAAAAATAGAGGAGATAAACATAGATCTGTGTTCTCTTTTTCTCCACCCCCCATCCCGTTCTCTCACCTCCCTCCCTCCCCTTTCTCCCTCTCCAGTCCTGGGGATTAAATCCATGACAAGTGCTGGACAACTAAGCTCAAATCCACCCTCCCACCTGGAGAAGGCCATCTGCTTTGGAGTGGCTCTTAGGAAGGTGGGCTCCTTTCCGGTGGGTTTGGAAGGCTGTCAGCACTTGGACTTGAACTTATATAGGAGGGTCCTCTGCGATCTCCTCCAGATCTAGAACTGTAAAGCACTGTGGTTTAGTTAGTGTGAGTCACTAATGACTATTTTCTTGAAGAGTATATTCTAACAGAATTTGGAATATGATAAAGGAGAAAAATTAGTCTTTTGGTCTTCATCATAACATTGGGCGCTTGTCAAGAGTCTAGTTGGTTACAAAACACCTCATTAAGGCATTGACTTGAGGTAAATTGTTCCTTTGGGGACCATTTTCTTATAGTTGAGTTAAGTAAATAGAGATGGAAGCAGGGGCTTTCAGAATGACTGTGGGTAAAGATGGCTTGCTATTTTCTTTTTATCTTTTTTTTCTTTTGAGACAGAATGTTCCTGTGTAGTTCAAGCTTTATTACTTCCTACATAACTAAGAATAATCTTGTACTCTCCATCCTTCGGTCCCTACCTCCCAAGCTCTACCACCACACATTGTGGTGGGTGCTGATCACTGTGTCCTTGTGTGGCTTCCATTGAGCTGGTTCCCCGTTACAAGCTTGGCTTCTCTACCTTGTTGTGAGCTGAAACTTTCCTTAATTGCATCTTGTGTTAGCCTGTCAGCCTCTTGTATGTAACTTATCTAGAAAAAGTTCCCGTTTTCTTCCAGTACTGGGTCTCTCTTGACATAGCACACCTAACCCTTTAACACCTGAGATGTTTAATGTTGAAAGTCATCTTGGTGGGATTTCAGATAACCTGGGGCACACACCTCTGAGCATGCCTGAAGGTATTTCCAGAGAGACTTAACTGAGGTAGGAAAACCTGCCCTGGGTGTGAATGTGATTCCACAGTCTGGGGTCCTAGATGGACTCAAAAGGAGAAAGTGAATAGAGAGCCAGCATTCCTCTCTCTCTCCTTCCTCACTGAGGGTGCTGTGTGACTGCCTTCTCCACCAGGAGCAGAAATAAACCCTTTCTTCCTTAAAATTGCTGTAGCCACAGCAAGAGGGACTGTAGAAAATTTAGTATCTTCCAGTTCTAGTGATAACTCTTGCCCTCTACAATGCCCCTTATTGGCATGTAAACAGTGGTGTATTTTACCCTCTTCTCTTCCCCTAACACCCTGCCAGTCACTGAATCCTTCTACTAATGTCTTCTTCTCATTTCTTCACTCCTCCCTGATGTTCCTCTTTCCGTTCTATGGTCATCCACTCTTGTGCCGTCTAGCAAGCATTCACTAAAAGGCCAGGGAACAAATGGATAAGAACCAAGCTCACCAAATAGCTCTATCATAATGATGCCCAAACCTTTGTTTGTTTTTTTGATTCATATTCCAAGAAACTACCAAATAGGCTTCTGGTGTTGGAACTAGACAGGTGTTTGCACTCCTTTAAAGGCCTCTGCCTTTTTTGTCTTTAAAAACACAGCGGACGCGGTGCACAATGCAGCTGGCTTTGGGTTCAGTGGCGTGGATGCAGATGGGAACTCCCGTTGGGATCTCTTGTCTAACCTGAACATCTGGAAGATTGAGGTGAGTATGGTGCTCCTGGAATGAACAGTAAAGTGAGCAATTGCTCTGAGTGTGGGATTCCCAGAGTGCCTGGCGAAAGCTATTTTTTTTTTTTTTTTTTGAGAAGCACTGCCTCAATGCACACCTTTTAGCCCGCTAGGATTAGTGTGTCTCTTCCCCTGTTTTTATTATCGGATCACCGTTCTCTTTGTGTCTTTGGAAACAGACATTGTTCCTTTGGACCACATTATTTCAGTTTGCTTTGACTTAATAAGCACTAGCACGGATAGGGCTACCACGTCACAGAGCCTTAGGTCCTGTGGAGCAGAAAGCCACCTGTAGCGGCCTTTTTAAAAACTCTACTTTATTTGGGTTGTTTAGGCCAACCTTTAGGCCAACCTCCCTTCCATCAACCCCCCATGCTTAAGTAGGAGAGAGAAAAGGTGAGTGGGAAGAGGGGGCCCAGACCTCCTTACTTCTCCCGGCTATTTTAGGTCAAGGGGTTCTTTTAGGGCTCTATACCAATCTTGGTCAACCACAGACACAGCTAGCAGACTCCTTCACACCACTGCGCCCCAAAAGTGTTTCTCTCCACCTCTCTACTCCAAACTGCCACACCGTCTTTGGTCTCTGGTCTCTCCAAACTGCTACTTGCTCCATGCCAACACAGAATGCAACCACATACACATCCCCTTTTCTTTCTCAGGCTCTCAGGTTTACACTCTGAGTCCTAGACCACACCCCTCTTCGGGGGTGTGGAAGGCAAAGATCACGCCCAGCATGTGACAGTTAACAGGTGTGGACAAACTATAGCCCAACTAAAATACCACACTTGGGATTAAAATAAAAACATATTTACATAACATAACTGAGTTTACAAAGAAACCAAAACTTCCATTACAGTCCTGCAGCAATGGGGGAAGGCCAGGCTTCTCACCATGCAGGAACACTAGTTTCCTAGCCAGCCTGCTCAGGGTGGCTGTGAGTTTTTTATTCCTACCTATCCTGGGGCAGATGTGAGAACAGGAAGCCTGGGAGATTGAGCATCTTCCACGCACATTGAGTGGAAAGCTGACAGAAAGGAGCCACTGATAAAACCTCCAACTTTTTTTTGCTTGAGGCCTTTTGCATTTGGGAGGCTTCCAGAGGGAAGGTGGCCTGCCTCTCACCTACCAAAACTATAAGGAGGGTTAGATTTCTTCCTCCTCATCGCCATCCTCCTCCTTTTCCTCCTCTTCTTCCTCCTCCTCTTCTTCCTTCTTCATCTCCTTTTCCTCTTCCTCTTCTTTCTTTTGCCCTTCTTTTTCTTTCCCTCTTACCCCTCCTCTTTTTTGGCCTTCTCCTTTTCCTCTTCCTCCTTTTATTCCTTCTTCTCTTTTCCCACATCTCTCCTTCCTCCTCCCCTTCTCTTCCCCTTTTTTCATCCTCTCCTTCCCGCTTTTCGTCTTCCTCTTCTTCTTTCTTCTCCTTTCCTTTCTCATCCTCCTCCTTCAACTCTTCCTCCTCCTGTCCTCTTCTTCCACTGTTACTTCAAAAGAAAAATGGGTAGAAAGAAATAGAAACACTTTGTACCTGTTACCTAACCAAATTGCATCATATATTCACTTTCAATTCATGGTACTGTTTGATGCCTCAGGCTGACCAAATTGCATAAACAGTACTCACTATGGGGAGAAAATGATGATATTTGGATTCTAGAGAATCTGAGGGCTCTCTGGGTCAGAAAGCCCTGGCAAATATGGTTAAACAAATGGCCCAAATTTAGAACTAGTTCTGAGCGAGCAATGATACTTTGCCCACCACAGTAAACCGTTCTTCCAATAGAAAATTTCCAGACATCACAACCACCTTTTCCTATTCTCAGAAAAGCATATGAAGACTATGTGCCGCTCTTTCCTATGAAGATGTCAGGGAAGGCCCTGGGCCTTAGGGACTTCACGCCCTTGAAGCACTGTGGGCTGGTTGTCCTTCAGACTGTTGACTTTTGGCTGCCCATGAGCGTATCCCAACTGTGCATCAAAAAGACAGAACCCTTTCATATGCTTGGGGTCAAAAGATGATATTAAGTTATATACCTATTGTAAGAGAAAATGAGAATAATGATTTTCATTGTATTTGGTATGGGGTAAGAACAAAGGAACAAGTCTGATTTAGTTACAGTGCTCCAAGGCCATGTTTATAGAATTCTATTAGCTATGTAAGCAGAAACACACTAAATAATTCATCTAACAATCTATTATACATCATCTGTTACCTATCACCCATTTACCTTCCATTTGTCATCTGTATCTCTAATCTATTTTCCTCTTATCTTTTAGTCTACTCCCTATCATTTATCTAATTATCATCCATCCATGTCTATGAACCTGTCTTAGAGTCTCTATTGCTGCGATAAAACTCCGTGACTAAAAGCAACTAGGGGTGGAAAGGGTTTATTTCAGCTTACACTTCTACATCGCAGACCATCACTGAGGGAAGTCAGGGCAGGAACTAAAGCAGGGCAGGAAGCTGGAGGCAGGAGCTGATGCAGAGGAGGAGTGCTATTTACTGGCTTGCACACCAATGGCTTCTTCAGCTTGCTTTCTTGTTCATCTCAGGACTACTTGCCCAGGGGTGCCACTGCCCACAGTGGGCTGGGCCCTCCCACGCCAATCGTTAATGAAGGAAGTGATCTATAGACTTGCCTACAGACAATCTGTTGGGGGCATTTTCTCGATTGAGGATCATCTTCCCAAATTAACTCTAGCTTGTTTCAAGTTGACAAAAAAACTACCTATGCTACCTATGCATCTGTTTTACATCATCTATCTGTTATCATCTGTTGCCTGCCCAACCTGTGTTCTCTATCATCTGTTTGTTATCTGTATTGTGTATCTGTCATCTGCCGGGCCATCCTCCATCAATCTTTTTTGCTCTATTGCTCTACCCTCTCTTTTTAAGCATAGAGTATTAGGCAGGTATGTGGCCTCTCTCTGTGTGTCTGTCCTTTTCATTCTTCTCTCAAATATTACATCCTGACTGCAGTTCCCCCCCCTCCTCCCTGCACAAAAAGGGTTTCTAATGGCTGAAGGTTTTCCACGGGAAAAAGCTATGCTTTGCGTTACTCTTTGAGTGAGAAAGGACAGTTCATGGCTTATTTGGGGCTGTCTTCTTTTGGCAGTTGCCTGACTTACACTGTTGCCAGATGGGTGATATTGCTATATTTTCTTCTCTGTATTGTGATCCCCTCATGCATGAAATCTCTTACTGTCCCAGGCAAAATTGGATACAGTCGGGACTGTGGAGCTATTTTTAGAAATGACTGTAAAAGGCTGACCTAGTTTGCATGTGGTCACATAGTACAAAGATAACAGTTTCATTTAACTTGTCCCCAAAGCCCTGCAATCAGATGATTAAACTTTCCCCATGTTAAACCCCCATCTAGAGTAGTTTTAAGTCATTTGACTTTGCTCTTTTTTTTTTTTTTAAATAAGAGTGGGAGGGAATTGACAGAACTTCCCTTCAGTTTTGCTCTAATGTAAAAATAAGTTTTGAACAGACCCAAGTCTCCAAGCCAAGGTTTGGCTGCAAAGTAAATCTTATAAATGCCAGGAAATGTTACTGCCTGTGTTGGAACAGCTGACTGACTGAACTGTGAGTAATCCCGCTTGAGATCCACATTAACTCTGAGAGCAAGGGAATTCTGGGCAGGACTTTCCATTGCTTGGGTTTTTTTTTTTTTTTTTTTTTTTTTTTTTTTTTTTTTTTTTCAGCTAATGATAGGTGTTATTTTCTTGTTTCTAGACTGCCACGAGTTTCAAAATGTACTTAGAAAACTGGAATATTCAGACATCTACTTGGCTGAAATGGTAAGGGACACAAGAACTACCTTATTGTTCATGGAAGGGGCTTCCTAGGTGAGCGGCAGCTGCCTGCCAGTCATGCCATCTGACACTTTGACATCAACATTCACACCTTATAAATTAAAAAAAAGTAGGAACAGTGACTTGAGAGGATCTCTGCATGAGTCCATTTCATCCCAGAATGCTCATTGCTGTGTTCCACACAGCAGTCCTGTGAGAAGTCAGTAGTTGTATTACTCCATTTAATAGCTGTGGAAAGTGAAGCAGAGGAGTAACATGATGTGCCCAAAATCACAGAGCTATGAGTGACAGCTACAAAGGTCTGTTCCCAGAATGATGCTTTGGCTTCTGTGCTATAAAGCTTGATACCCAGGAGAGTCTAGTTTTCAGATCTTAGGACGTCAGTGTGAATGTCAAATCCCTGATGAGGGCTGATGCTATTCCCAGAACTGAGGGCTTTATGGGACGGACATGCATGCGTGTGTGTTGACATTTCTCTGACCTGCTTCTATGTGTTCTAAATTTAGAAGCATTCCTTGTTGGGAAACTCTGAATATACTATCTTTGGAACACCAAACTCCACCTAGCGAATGCACCCTGAAAGACGTGCAGGGACAGTATGAAAATATTAAGTTTTGCTGAGCAGTGTCTTTCACAAATCAAAACAGTCAGAGCTGAAGAGATGGTATGGTTTGGGGATTGAGTGTGTCCTGCCCTTGCAGAGGATTCAAGTGCAGTTCCTATCACGTCCACGGGTGTCTCACCACCGCCTGTAACTCCAGCACTCTAAGAGATCCAGTGCCTTCCTCTGGTTCCCAAGGCACGTTCACTCATGTGTACAAACCCCCACACAGACATAACATACCTTTAAAACTATCTTAGAGCAAATTTTTTTCATTTAAATTTTTATTATATGTTTAAATAAAATGTTTTTATTTAAAAATTATTTAAAAAATTAAAAATTTTTATTTAAAACAAATTAAACTATAGCTTAAACATAGCTATTGAAGCAAAGGAGACAGTGCAGTAATTCTTCAAATAAAGCTTATGTGGTGCTGTCTAAAAACTGCCTGTTCCCACTGTTTTAAAATTCTGATATAAACATGATTGTTTGTAATTAATATTGTAGGCAATTTTACCACCAGCCTTTATTTCTTTATGCTGAGTAGTCCCAACATGCTCAGAGACATTCAGTCTCCATTAGGAGTGTACAGGCTAAGATGATTGAGACATGAGAAATTTTAAAAAGAAAATATTTCACTCACTCAAAAAGATACATAGAATGTTTTTTAAGATGCACATGCCTAATCCTCATGTCAAAAAAAGAACTCTTACTAACCATTCTCTGAGAGGCCCACCTCCAGAAGCTGATTGAATCAGAACAGACGCTGAGACTTACAGTCAAGCAGATCCCGGGGAGTCCTGTGGAAGAGGGGAGGGAAGGTTAGAAAGACCCGGAGGGGACAAGAATGCTGCAGGACAACAGAGTCAACTAAACTAGACCCCATGGCAGCTCCCCTACCTGTATGTAACCGATGAGCATTTTGATCTTCATGTGGGTCCCCTGGTAAGCTGAGCCGGTGCTGTCTATGACATGGACTCTGTTGCCTGCTTTCAGTCACTTTGCCCTAGCCAGGCTGCCTGGCCTGGCCTTAGTGAAGGAGGGGGAGCTCCATCCTGATGAGACTTGATGTGTTGGGGTGGGTTGGATGGGGGGGTAACTCCCCTTTTCTGAAGCTGAGGAAATGAGGGGAGTAGGGTCAAGAGGGTGGGAGGGAGGGACTAGGAGGAGAGGAGGGAGGAGGCTATGATCATGATGTAAAGTAAATACAATATATATATATATATATATATATATATATATATATATATATATATAAAACCCTCATTACAAAGAAAAGAAAAATTTTATGTAGAATAGAGTTTAATCCTGTGTGTTTCTTCCCAGTTGTATTTGTTTTCCTCTAATGAAAATGGAGAATATGAGTGTAAAAAAGGGAACCCTGAATTTGAGTGTAAATCAATTACATTTACCAGGCAGTGGTGGCAGGCAGATCTTTGAGTTTGAGGCCAGCCTGGTCTACAGAACTAGCTCCAAGACAACCACGGTTACACAGAGAAACCCTATCCCAAAAAACCAAAATCATCATCATCATCATCATCATCATCATCATCATCATCATCATCATCATCA